ACCATTTTTTAACAGTGACCACTGTCTGGGAGATCGGGTCAGGACTCTGCAGTACAACTAAAAGGCCACTGTTAGGCACTGGCCTCCCATGCCTTCAGGTTGGGTTTACCCAGAGAGAGCAGGGTCTCCATCCACCTCCCGCAACAGAGCAAACCAGGCTTCAGCCAGCACAAGTGTGAGCCTCTTCTGACACCTAGTGCCCACAGAGCTGAGCTGGGCAACACCAGCCTCAAATCACATCCACCTGGGACACCTCCAACCCCACATCCCCTGCACAGCACCCTGGCAGCCACAGGCACCCAGTGACATAGGCAAACAAGTCACCTTCATTCACTGCATTTTAGAGCTGTGTCAGTTTTCCAGGTTCACCTAATGTGTGCTTCAGGCTACTCAAAATGGGCTCTGTATATAACACAGACAAAAGTCACAGCTCCATAGAAGCGAGATTTGCTTTTGATTTGCACAGGACACAGAACCTTTTCCTCGTCACTCCTACAGGATTCTCTGGGTGTAAACACTTAATGGAAACGTTCCTGGAATCACATTTCCATGTGAACGTGTGATCCCAAAAACATTTGCACAAGACAATGGCCTGTAGCTTTGCTGCATCCAAATCCAGATGTTTCTGGTGAGAAAGAAATAGATGACCTGAGAATTAAACCCAGGCCCCTTGGCTCCCCTCCAGATGCTCTACCAGCTGCTCACACCAAGTCCCCTCTGGTCAATTACTTTACTTGATGCTTCTAATCAACAATATTATATATGTGATGCTATAAACTTTTGTATTTAATATTAGCTCATAACTCAGCATCCAAAACCAGATGTTTTTGGTGAGAAAGAAATTGATGACTTATCGGAGGACTGAACCCAGGCCTCCTGGCTCATTTCCAGACAGTCTACCAGCTGAGCTGCAAAGCTAACCAGTCACCTCCTGCTCCCCCTGCACCGCTTCTTTTCATGAAAGGAAAAGGATTTCACATCTCCCAGCGCAGCCTGCAGGAATATGTGAAAGATGTTTCTATAAACACTTCTGAAACAGCACAGCGCAACGCTGCTTTGAGGCAGGAGGACACGTTTTTCCCAGAGAAGGGCTTCGCAGAAGAGTTCCTTTCTTCCCTGAGAGTCAGTCCTCACTGAGGACTCGTGACAACTGCACGCAGAAGCAGCAGAATAGATGCCCGGTTTAAATCTGAACTTCTTCAGCATCCCCACGCTCTGCTGAGGCTGCTTATGAGACACCCTCTGTGCTCCTGCCTTCAGGACAGCTCAGTGGCACAGATGATGTAGGAAAATGCGTACGCTCGAGGACTTAAAATGGATTTCTGCAGGGCCAAAAGGTGGAATGCAATCATTTCTGATTTATGGAAATCTTCTAAGCTCCGTCCCACCAAGCACTTAAGTAAGTGCTTTACTTCAAGCCCATAGTCGAAGCGTTTAATTCAGTGTAACCACTCGTGTGTTTAAAGTTAAGCATGTGCTTAAGAGCTCTGCCTTACAAGGTTATACCTGGGGAACGCAGAGCACAGCGCAGCTCTGGTGCTTAATTACACACAGGATGCTCTGTCACAGCAATCGTGTACTTCCTTGCTAAAGGATAGAGCATCAACTTCCTGAGCTCAGATTCACAGGGCTTGCTCTTAAATTACAGCTAAATAAAACACAATGAACAAGTAACTTCCATGAAAATCCAAAACCCTGAGTCTTAAGAGCTTTGTTTAGGATTAGAGACATCGACCACCACAGCAAGCATGCACATCTACAGATATTTGCCCAGCACCGTCAGAGAAAAATGTTAAATTGCTATTGCAATTGAAAGGAATGAGAAATACAGAACAGCATGCCATGATAATCTATTAGAGAATGCTTTCCAAAGAGGGAATTCCAACTTCCCTAATCAATACATTGCATGCCTCTTCCAAGGAGAAAATATTTAAGAAATCATGACCACAAACATGCAGGGAATTGGCAGTGGCATACGGAGTGCGAATACTATTTCAACTCTTTCGCTTTAATTTGCCTGAATCTTAAGACTTCACCTTAAATTAAGTGTAACAAAGCTTGTGATTTTGAATGCTACATCCTACAGAAGTCTGCATTTACTAGAGCATCTCACTTCATCCAAAAAATGAAATTCGGCAAAAGCTTGAATAGATCATACAGCTGATGGAGAAATAAATATCATCTTCAGTGAAACAGATTTCTAAACTTGGCTCTGTTCTACTTTGAATACTCTGAATTATCTTGCCAACATTTTCACCATCAAAGCAGCTGAAATCAACACTTGAATACAGTATTCTGACAAAACTGCAGTTGCATAGGTAACTTTTCATTAACAAATTCAGCTAATTGATGCCTGAAACAGTCCAATTCTGTCGAGTCATCTTTTATCAAAAGCTTTGCAATTTCTACCCAAATTGCCCTGATAGCTGCAAGATACTGGGGAGGTTGTATCATTCAGAAGATGTTTAACAGGAAGAAAGCAAAGAGAATCTGCATGGTGGGAGGAACAAGGAAAAAGAGAGGGAGGAGAGGGAAGCATGTTCAAAACACATACAAGGCCAGGAGGGTGGAGATGGAGGCACAGTGCTAAGACCAGCAGGTCATGGAAAAATTCCTGAGACCTCATACCTGGAGCCAATACACTCGAGCAGCACCAGGGGCTGATCATCACATATGTTTTATTTTCAATGGCTAGTGCTAATCACCGTGGGTTCAACCTTAGTGAGATGCCAAGACCTGCCAAAGCTGATGAGAAACGACGGTACACTGCACCTCTCTGGCTGCTCTGCATTCAACAGCCCTGCGCACCCACAAAGGCAACATCCAAACAACTAAAAGCTTACAACAAAAGCACCGTAAAGGTATTTGCAAAGACCAGTACATCATTGCCCTAAGCAATGCTCTAAGACAAAAGCACTAACTGCAGCACTGTAGAAACAGAAGGAAAATGCACAGCGACACAGTGAACAACCAGCAACTGGAGGAAGCCTGAAGCCACAGCCAGGACAAAGCACAAAGCACGCAGTGGAGATGTTCCAAGATGAAGCTCACTAATCCAGTCTTCTGCAGGAAAAATAACGTTTCAAAGCCCCGTTGTGGCTCCGTTCTCCTTGCACTTTTTTCACCAATGTCAGTAAGTCTTCTCACCAGCACAGATTTTAGGTCAGCAGCCTCCAGCTGAGCTTTACAGAGCCTCCCTATTCTCTTGCACCTTTTAAGCCTACACACAGCTCTTTCAAAACCTGGGTGCACCTGATTCTGACAGACTCAGCCTGTCTAGTTTTAAGCAATACCCCCCCAGAAAATACAACACAGCTTCTTCAGACCTTCCAGCAACCTGTTTTAACACTGATATTTAGATACAATTATAAATGTTCAAAAGGAGAATAACATCAGGGGAATATCTCAGAGTCAGTCCGTTCTGGTGGAAGGGCTGCCTCAAGGGAGAACAGACTTCAGACACCTGGCCCTCATTCTGTGGTCTGTGTTGCAACACCTGTGGGAAAAGAACTATAGGAAGCTGCAAGAAGCTCTCGAGGGGCCATGAAACACCCAAGCATATCTACATAAGGAACAAGCAGACTGCTGCATTGTAAATGCTGACATCCACTGGACACTCCTCCAAGTTTTCAATTCATTCTGCTGGTGCAGCAGTCCACCACCCTCTATTCCTCTCTTCACTCGTAAGCCAAACAGTGAGACAGGTGGAGCCTGCATCCTCTGACAGCCCAAAGACACTGTATCACGTATCACTGTGTCCAGACTATGCTGTCTGCTTTCAAATCTAAAGATCTGAGTCAAAACTGCTTGAAACACTGCTCTTTCTTAACATCAAAGTTCAAGATGGAGGAGGAACTGCAAAATAAAAAGAAGTATAGTAATCCCTAAGTTGTTAAACAGGAGTTTTTCCTATTTCCTCATTAGCTGGCTGCGTTTTCAATACCAGCACAGGTTGCCTTTAATTAACCGTGAATGCACTGAGTCATTATTTGCAAGCTGTCAGCACAAGCACAAATTGAGAGAAAAATCTATCCCCTTCACAAACCCACCTTGACTCTCAAGGCTTCAGAGAGGAAAGTCCAGGCCTTGAACCAGACCTGGGAGTAAAATGGCAATGTGTCACCATAAAAACATGAAACATTCTGAGAGTTCATTCGTTTCCTTGGTTTTGCATATTAAACTAATACACATTTTATGGCACTGCATGAACATAATTCACATTCATCTTTCCCACAGATCCACGAAACATGCTCTGAAATGCTGCTCTGAGAGCCTCGTCTCCTCCTCCCAATCTGTCAGATGTGGTTAAAACACAGACCGAGTCCGTAAATACAGTTGTTGCTCCATGTATTTTTTTAATCACTCAGACAGGTCACTGTCCAGGAAAGAGCAGCTGGAGTCACAGCTGCAGAACTGTCACTGATGTGACACCACATCATCATACTTGAGAGCAGAAGAGTTCTCTGGAGGAGGAAATCACTGCAGGGTGATAATTGAGCGGGGCTCCAGCAGACTGCTGGCATCTGAGGGGTTTTGTGCTTGGCAAGGTAAAGAGAAAAAAAAGCAAAGGCTCCCACCCAGGACTAACAGAGAGATTGTCAACACAAAATATACGAAATGCATAAAGGTATAAAGCTGAAAGGGAGACAGCAAGTCTTGAAAGGCCCAACTTGCTGCTAGTCTAAGGGGAGTTACTGGACAATCTCTTAAGGAGATTTATACCTCTTTCACCAGGAGGCAGGTTGGCTCACACTTACATACAGTATCAGCCAATTAGAACAAAGAAAGATAACACCTGAAATTGGGATTTCTTCAATGTTGCAGCTCCCCTGGGCCCTCCAGCAAAACGTGCAGTTTGCACACAGCATACATATTTACTCCAGATAAAACCACTGTATTTACTTGGAACCAGCCTCTCAGGGACAGACAAAGCAACAGAGAAAATTGGGCTTTTTGCAAGCCTAGTCGCTCACAAAAGGAGAACAGAAGCACAGTAGTACCTGAGACTCAGACCAGGGCTCACAGCAGTCTTGCCAGCAGGTTGCTGGAACTTCGGCTGACCTCCAGCTCTACAGAGCCGCAGGCACCTCCCGGTCTTCCCTCCATCACGGGAAGAAAGGACCCCTCCCGCCCCTTCCTTTTAAGCTTTCCAAGCCCCGGGTCAAGTTGCCCCTTAACCCCTTCCTGGCTGCTTGGCAGCTCTGCCTTCTCAGTCAGGGAGGCTTCCAAGGCACATAAAGGTGGATTCTTCATGACTGCACTTTTTGAGGTACAGTCCTGGCTGGTATAACCAAAATTCAGAGGTTCTACCTGCTTCACGTTGGGGGTTTGAGCTGAGTTCTCCCAAGAACCGAGGCTAGTATTGGTTGTACGTGGTCCTGTCCCTGCATGGCAGAGGAGGAAGGCTGCTGTTCTCTCCCTTGCAAGGTAAGCCCAGGCCGTGGTCAGACAGTCTGCAATTTCATTGCAGCACAGACAGGAGCAGGAGGTGCAGCTGCAACAAACTCACTGACCTAATCCACATTCACAGCCATGCTGCAACATAATACCTGGCAACTAGGGCTGAAGATAGCAGCAGATTAATTACAAGACAAGAGGGATCTACACCAACTCACCATTTCTCGATGCAAAAGAGCAAACACTGCTAAGACTACTTAGCTTTGTTTAACTGGAGAACAAGGGAAACCAAAGAAAAAGTTAACCTATGTGGAATGAAATCCTCCTGGGACCCTGACTTGAGGACAGTATGTGGCATAGGAATGGGAGGGGTACAGAGAGAGAACAGAAGCAATGAAGTGTGTGTTGAGCCTTTTGTCTCAAGGGACTCTGGTTGTCACTATTTCTACAAGACTGTGGCATCCTTTTCTGCTTACCCCTTGTCAGCACTGAGTTGGGACTTAATATTTTAACATCCAACAGGTACGGACACATGCTCTGCAGGTCTTTCGCAGCAAAGGTTTGTATACAGCCAGAAATGCCTATGATATGCTATTGCAATACTACTTCTTTCAACCAAGACTGAGAAACTGATTTAGAGACAGAAAGCACAGAGGGATGGAAGAGCAGAAGAAAGAACACGGAAACTTGTTTGCAAGCACAGCATCGTGCCAATGCTTCTTTCTCCCATCTCACACCACCCATAGGTACCTGGCTGCAAACTACAGCTGATGCACGTTGGGCACGTACACAGCAGGGCTGGCTCCTCAGCCAAAGGGGGCAATTGAGCCTGGGGAGCTGCGCTCACCACGTGTCCCTTGTCAGCCTGCACATTGGTGAGACAGCTCCCCATGCTCTGCCACCATTTTTTTTTCCACTTGTTTAAGAGCATATTTATTTCTTGGAAAGCTCTAAACATCAGATGGAGCTAATTAAAACCAGGAGGGCTTAGGGGAGCTGGAGGGAAGAGGGAGACGTGCCATTTGATTTCCACTTCAAAGTGGTTTAGCAAAATAAAAGCACTCAGGCCCTCCAACCCAAGTGTGTGCCCATGGGGAGGGGAGAGAAGGGGACATTCAGTACTCTCAAGTGCCCACTACCCCCCAGTTTTGCTCACCAGGCTCAGAGGAGCTGTGTCTGGATGCTGTGCCAGCTGATTAGTCAGTGCATCAGAGGTTAATTGCAGCAATTTGTCCTGTGCATTCCCATCAATTTTGCAGAGGGTGGCAGTGCACAAGGAGGAGGTGGCATGAGCTGTCCCAGGCACCAGATTCCCCTAGTCAGCAGGCTCTGGGAAAACCTTCAGACAAGACAGCAGCTGCTGTTGCGAGGTTTCTGAGTGAGCATAAGGAAACAGAGCTGCTGAGCAGCCAGCCACAGCCAGGGCCCAAGCGTTTGAGGGCAGGGCTCTGTGGGATAGGGCTTCTTCCCAACACAGATGGAGGCTTTGCAGGTAACCCTGCTGCCCCACAAACACAACAGCTCAGCTCTGCCACAGCCCTCCCATCAGCCCTGTGGCACTCAGGCCCACAGTGCAGCGTGCCTGCATGTCCCCAGCTTGGGGAAATAAAGCTCCCCAGGCCTTGTCCTCTGTACAGCCCAGCCCACACATCACCAAACCCCAACACAGCCCCGCCATGGCTCCCCAACCCCACAGCACTCCTTCCTTTCATGACTCTCCCAGCCCCTCAGGGCTGTCTTGACCCCCCAGAGCTCTCCTACATCTCCCCCTCTTAGAGCTGCAGCCTTCCATATCCCTTCCTCTGTCAGGACAGAAAGGCACACTGGAACACCCTTCATTCCCCTCACCTTATTTATCACCCTTATTCAGCATTATTTAGCATTATTCTCACTCATCAGCTTCCAGGACTGGCTGGCAAACCCACCCCCAGCCAGAGCCCATGGGGAAGGAGGCCCAAGTCCCATCCATCCCCACCACCTGTACCTGCTTCTATTTCTTCTTCCCCAGTTTGGCTGGGGAAGTGGGAATGGAAGGAGTCAGTAAACATTAATTCTGAAAATAAATAAGGAAGGTATTGGCAGCTTGCAAGTGGCAACGGATAAAGCACCCTATGATGGCACCATAAAACGTCTCTCCACACACCATTTATCACCAAGCTAGTCTGAGTTAGCATCAAGCCTGATTTACTTAATATTAAAAGACATAAACAAGAGTATGCAAATTTGGGAAGAAGAGTTTCAATTGCAGCTAAGATTTTAATGAGCTAACACGCACGTGCTTGCTGTTTTCTCTCATTTAGTGGGCTTTCAGCTAGGCTGAACTGCTGAAGATGAACAGTTTGGATCTCTCCTATCCCTGGCTGCTAGTAGTGGCTACAGAGCCCAAAGATCCCTGGAGAGCTGAGTGCTAGGATGCATTCTCCTGCCCAGAGGTGGCTGCAGCCTCCTGGACGTGCTTGTCTGTACCGCCAGCACTGCGGCTGTGGCACTGCTGGATGAAGGGAAGCTTTCTCTGTCTCTGTCAACCACAGAGAGCATTGCGAGCAACAAATTGCAGCCCCGTCGGAGCCTCCTTGGCCACAGCACAAGAAGTGAGGATGCTGGCCCTGGAGTAAAGCTGAGTGGGTTTTATTCAGTCGCTTTTCTTTTTAAAAGTTTATAGTGCACTGCCCAAGACATAGTGCAAGCTCTGTATGAGACATGAATAACATTCACTCGTGACTGTTTGTACAACCAGGGGCATTACAGGTCAGGCTGAGAAGTGTTGTAAGAATGATGCAAGGCCCCCAGCCTAGCCAAGCAGGGCGCATGGCACAGGAAGATAAAGAGTCATTCAGAGGCTGTGTGGGGTCCAGCACACAGTAGCCAAAGGCCCAGCAGGTCACTATTCTGTGCTTATTCTTGAGGCTGCCTGTGGGGAAACGCAGCTCTTTTCAGGCTGCACAGAATGTCACCGTCAAACTCACCTTTGGGAGCAGGACTAAGACCCCCATCAGCCTCACAGAGACAGCAAGCACATCTCACGGAGATGCAACCAAAAGAAACTACATGATGCATGTGGCAGGGAAAACAGCTAAACCTTCTCTCAAGCTTTAGCTAGCCACACAATGTCTTGTGCTTCAACATCTCTGCTGTACCCCATTGCATCTGCTGCTTCACAGTGCACCATGCAGGGCCCAGACTCTGCTGCATCGCATATGTTCACCTCCACAGCTTTCTCCAGGCCGGCAATCAGCATCCTCAGCAGCTCCTATTTACCTGCTCTTTCCTTAGTATCAAGCACCATGTGGAGAGAAGGCCAGTGAAGACAGAAATGCATTTGGGTTTATTCCAGTTTCGACACAGAGCCTACATCAAATAGCAGTTGTTCTGCTTGTAACTCACATTAAGCAGAGGAGCTGTAAGTTGCTTTTCCCTTCTTCTGCTGACACATTTCAGTGCACACATTCAGAGGTCAACATTCTGCTTTATACACTGGTAAATAAAAACCCAGCCACAGTACACACAGTGCAGTGCAGGGGCTGTTTTTCCCTGGTACAAGTCCCTAAGAGTAACTGCATGGACTCCCTCCCTTTTTTTCTTTCCTTCCCATCCCAGTCCATCAGCTCCTGCTGCCACCCCATCACCCCTGGCCTGCACTTTGACATCCAGTCCCCATTTCCCTTCCCTTTGCATTTCTATGTACAGTGTTGTTCTGGTAACCCAATCCACCTCCACAAAAATCACTTGGCTTTTTTTTTTTTTTTGGGGGGGGGGAGGGGAGGTGGGGGAAGGGGGATGGGGTTGTTCTTAATTTATGTGGGGTCAACCTCATAATTGTGTCCCTCTTTTCATCCCTTCCTCCATATAAATCAGGTATGTGACATTTTAGCGGAACGCCAGCAAATTGAGCATGATGTTCTTATCACCAGCTTAATAATAATTCAAAGAAGCCTTGCACCACTGCACCCCAGGATCAAGAGGAAGCAAAATAAGGCCATCCCTATGCAGCAGATCTCCTCTGAGCAAGGCTGGTACACCACACAGCACTGCATTCAAGAGCTGTTCTTCTTTCACTTAAAGTTCTATTTAGACTTTGAGCTGCTGAAATGCCCATGATAGGCAGAGCAGATGCTACAGCTTGGAGAAGCCTTTGCACACAGTGCCCAGGCTTCACCTATCACATAACCACTGTGGCAGGTTGTTGTCCCTGGTACCTGCACACCCCAACCTGCATCCCTGTGCAGGGCTGTACTAGTCTGCTGGCAGACCCCAGCCACTCCTTTCCAGCCAGAACAGCCAAACGAGGCTGTGTCAGTCTGTCACTGTCAGGGAACAGGCATGAGAGCAGCTCACCAGTAGCAAAAAGGGAATGATGAAGAGGCACAGCTCATCCCAGCACAGCTGCAGTTGGGAAAGGACAGCTTGTGTGTCTGCATACTCCAAGAGATACTGCATGCCTCCTGCTCTCCTTAGGCATTGTTTCTGGAGGTGAAGTGACCTACTGATGGAAATGAGACAGATTTGATTGATTATTCAGTGGGAGCTGGGCTACAAAAGTTGAATCTCCACCAGTGTAGCTGTCAGCAAAGCCAGAGCTGCGTATCAGCTGGGTGAAATGGTCTAAGGTCATTTTAAACAGCTTCTGCAGATTTAAAGCACATCATGAGTAGAGGGAATGTTCCGGCTCTCCAACTATCAGAGTTCACTTAACCCAGACTC